AGTGTGTCTTGGCTATTCTGAAGCAGAAGCTCGCTGAACCGGGAGATGCATCAAGATGCACGCAGCAGCCCTGGAAATGCGTGGCGGCGCGAGGGGTAAGTATCAATAATTGAGCACCATGGGGGTGGCTTCGCTTGGCCATTTAGCGGTCGAACCAGGGGGATGGTCCGCGGCGGGTGCCTATGGTACGGGGATATCGGTGGATGTATCGCACGGCGAGGCCTGCTATCGACATGTCGACGATGCCAGACCGGAGCTGTATATTCTACGATATAGGAAACTATCCTAGCCGCGATCATGATACGCGAAAATACCATCTGTCATTCGGGGATGCGTGCCGGGTCCCACCCCTCTCGTCCTGCCGAGGTTTTTGGTCCCCTCGCCACTCGCTAGATTCGTGGTCTTCGAATTTTTTCGCGTTTATCAGTCTTCTTGTGTTGAAAACGTTGAAGAGCGTCATTATTGAAAGTTTGATTTGCATTTTATAATTATGACAAAACAACAGGAGGAAAAATAATACAAAAAATAAATAGGAAAAAAAATACAAAGCTATAAAAATATTGGCATATTTGTTGCCTTATAAATTGTACATGGCTTTAAATATTTTCGTTTTTTTAATTATTCAAAATCATCCTATATGTTATATATTGTAATATTGTGTATCCAGTTAGGGCAGCTTATCGAATTTTTCACTGACGTAATTTATTAGTTAAAACGCACACATGTATCGCAAATTAGCGATCCACTCCAGCGAGGCGACACGTAATGGATAATTGCGTTTAAAATATGCATCGACACTTTCGCAGTCGAGCTAAGTGAGCGAAATTACGCCGACGCCGCTAAGCTCCAAAAATGTTTTCTTAAATAGCGTGACCGTAAGACCCAGTTAATCCGGATTCCGGAACAATGCGGGATTTGAAACAATTGGCTGCGAACGAACGAGTATCGGGGACCGGGTTGCTGCCCGGCAGCCGTGAATAATCGTGACCCATAGTCGGATTCACTTTCCAATTAAAGGTCCCGATTTGCATTCGACTCCAATGCCGTTGATCGGAACGCGCGGCCGAATGGGGGGTCGACGACCGAGCCGCGCCATCGAAAGTAGCGAATAACGAGAATGGCGATAAATCGATCGAACGTGTCAAACAATATGTCCTTATCGTAGCTCGAATATCTCGAATATTGCGCGGTATTGCGCGCGCGGATCGCAGTTACATCTCAGTTAACAAAACGGCCCGGCGGTGTGACGCAGATTAAAGCGCTATCATTAATTGAGTATTTTTGATTCCAAATTTTACAAAATAAAGACAATATTTGGAAAAATAAAAATACTGTAATAAATAAACAGCATACACACAATTTAAGAAAAAAATATATTCTTTTCTATAAACTTTTTATTTAAAGCTTATGTTTTAAAATACTGATTAACATCGTTGTCTAATAAAAAAAAAACAAAAGTAATTTTGCTTATCCAGGATTCATCGTAATTTTAATCATGTTTTAATTGTCGATTTTATAAATTAATTTTTTTGTATTTAATAAATTTATAATTAACAGAATATAAAACAAAACATACAAAATATAAAAACAACTGCAGTATATCTAACAGAGACATTAATGCAATATATGATACAGTTAGTATTACATACTAATAAAGTGATATTATAACAGAACGCAGTAATCTATATTAAATACTCTATATAAACATGTCATTTGCATATTTAACAATTTTTCAAAAGTTTACAATGCATAAAAAAAATATTATCTCCTTCGTTCTACACAATAACTATTACGGGACATTCGTTTAACATAGTAACGAATTTTTAATTAAATATAATCAGCTCAATAATTACAACAAACCTATGTTTCCCGCAACTGATTTGCATTTAATTACGAATATGTGAAAGGAACGCGTCTAAATTAATTCGATTGATTCCGTCCGTTTTTCACGCCGCGACGCATCGCGCTTCGCACATTGGCGCGGCGAGGGGAAGGGGGAGGGGGAGGGGAAGGCTGAACGGCACAACCGTAGCGAGCGCTCATACCGACTCGGTCAAGCGTAGGAGTGGGACGCCGCGCCGCGTCGTTCCGGCCGCCGGGATACGCGCGGGTCGCGCGCGCCCGGCCAAAGTCACGTAGATGTCGAACGCGACGCACATAAACACTAAATCGCCGAGCGAGCATATCAAGTAACGATAATAATACGCACGTAGTATAATATCGTAGTACTCGTGCCGCGACGATTCTCGACGCCGCCTGAGCCTACGCGTCGCTGCGTAAAACGATTCCCTAACCAACGTCGCAACGCGACATTGCGCTACTCCATTGCGACAATTCTTTCTTGCCGGAACGTAAACGTATGTCCGTTCCCCTGTAGGAGCGGCTAGCGTCGCGCTTTAAAAATTCGTTCGGAAGCGAGGTTAGTCAGGAACACGATTAAATTTGTCTCTTTTCTTGTTTTCGACCGAAGAATCCGGCAGGCGGAGAAAACTCTGTTTGAATTTGATATGCATACATAACTTTTTTTACAAATATTTTTACAAGTAAATAGTAGTAGTGTAAAGATGATAGCAATAAGAATCTTATGAATCTTATTACATGATACGAGAAAGTAGCAATCAATACTGGAGTTTTCTTCAGTTCTGGAATAAGAATATCTGATATTGTGCCGAATATTTCTACCGTTTTCTTTTCTCCTTTTGGAAATCGATGAAATGCTGAAAATGGTAACCGTGGTCAGAAACGTTCTCTTCTACTCAGTTTATGTCAATAACTCAGTCCGGAAATTAATAAGGTTAGAGGTAATCCTAGCGAAAGTCAGGAACGAAAGAAAATCTCCCCGCAGTTAAGAAAAATAATGCTAATTAAGGAGACACAAGTCTAGCTCGCGACTAATTTTGTTCGAGCTTTATTTTTATGGCGATTTTATTTTTTTATTGTATTACGTTATAATTACGTTACCGCTATATAGATGTGCAACTATTGCAATGCTTTAATTATAATGTTTCATTGATACTTCGATCGATATAGAGTATAGACTATTACATGTCCGGTAGGAAAACAGTATAATTATTTAATGAGCGATTGAATATTCGGCGAAGTGTAAAGAATTAATATTGATATATTATAATTCCGATTAATGTTAATGATAATAAGTTAATATTATAGTTTATATTAACATTAATAATTTAGCGTTAACAATATGTTAAAGTTTTAGCCGTAATTTTTTTCTCCTTTACAAGAAAGAAATTTAATAATTTTTGCGAATTTTGTACATCATGGAAAATCTATTTTATTTTTGAATAACACATCTACAAGTGTAATATTTGATTATTCCGAATGTAATATGTTGAAGTTTTATATACATGTACGTTATACGTATCAATTAATAGTATTTACTTTTTAAATAATTTTGTGAATACATTACACAAAATTTTAATTATTTCCCGATAGATATTATTAATGCTAATAAATTAATTACAACATATATTAATATCAATTCTTTATATATTTCGCTGAATGAGATTTTTTCATATAAAATGGAAATAGAATTACGATGCAACATTATGATTATATAATACAGTAATAGTAATATTTCACGATATATTATCATCAAAAAAATTTACGAAATTTATGTCGCCATAAATATTGCTCGTAATTTTAATAAATTCAAATTAAATCGCAAATTTTGTGTTATAAATATTTGTTTGTAAAATAAAGTGACTTAAAGTGACATACAAAATTCTCTAACTTTTTGAACTATAATTTACAAATTCAATTTTATTTATTAAATATTCGTTAATTATGATTTTTTAAATTATTAAACTATTCGTCCGTTAAAATATAAGTTCGTTAAAATCCCATGTTAAATTTTGTCTCGCGAATGTATTATCGCGTAAATAAAGTGAAGTGCAAGCAACGGGACCGCTCCAGAATCACTTCCGGACTGTTACAGATGTAATTGCAGTGGAAGATACATCGGTGGACGTCGCGAATTGGTGAGTGCTGAATTTCAGTTAATTTTACAATTAATCTATTTTCTTTAGCTACATCTTTTCTGCAGTTTATTGCAATTCATAATATAATATAATATATGTATTATATGTATTTCTATTACATCATAACTAAATATCATATTTACGAAATTAATATCAATTACCCTTGGGCTCGAGATAAAATCATTTAACTATTTATTTTTCAATCTTTCTTCTCATAATAATAAAATGCAATATATTGTAATATAAAATCTACAATTTTTTACAGTGGAAGATACATCGGTGAGCGTCGCGAATTGGTGAGTGCTGAATTTCAATTACTTTTACAATTAATCTGTTTTTTTTAGCTACAGTCCTTTTCTACAATTTGTTGCATTTCATAATATAATATAACATTTTACAGAGGTATCAAAATTTTATTTTTCTTGTGTACTAATATTTATATGTATATATAAATATAAAATTGGTGAAAATTAGCGTAACTAAAAAGAACAGATTATACTGCATGCGTATAGTAATCGTAATGTTCGCAATAATCACGCTTTCCAACGGAAAGAAGTAAAGACGCAATATGTTGCATTGTATAATCTTTATAATTTTTTATAATCCTTATGAGTGAATTATACATATACAGAATTTAACTTGGCGACGACATCTCGCGTTTCGCGTTTTAACCCCCATTAGTGACCCAAAGCATGGTACGAAGCCTTCGGCTGCACGAACAGCCTAATGTTATGTAAAAACGTCGCTACCCCTTACCGGCCCCCTCCGGTGCGTATATTAATGCACGCCGAAGAAGAGCGAAACGGGCAAGCGTAGGCGCGGGAGAGGAGACATCGAACCACGAGCAGATGCTCCTGCCGGAATATCTAAATAAATCCAGCCCGCGCCCTTAAAATCCCAGAGTCGAATAAGTAATAACATCCACCGACTACACGGCTGTGTCCCGTCCTTCCTCTGGCTTTCTCTGTCTCTTTATCTCTTTCTCTCTCTCTCTCTCTCTCTCTCTCTCTCTCTCTCTCTCTCTCTCTTTCCTTTCTCGGTCTGTTGCCCGTTCTCTTTTTCTCTCATCCCTGCCCTGCCTGTTTTGCCTGCATAAGCGAGCACGTCCGATTTCGAGACTTTAATTGGCCGGAGGGAATTCCGCCGCGTGGCCTTACTTTACGAGGAAACTTTCGAGATATTTTGAGCCGAGCCGAGCCGGGTCGGGGCAGAAGGGAATACGCTGCATACACTCTTTTTCCGGTTAGATGGGAGAGTAAGTCGGCGAGATTGAGTCGGCGTGGCGGCCGCGGGTTTGAAAGATTTGGCTTTTATCGCGCGGATACATATGAAACGTTTTGCGTTTTATGAAAATCTTTGAGACAACATATACACCTGGCGTACACTATTCCTGTCTTTTTTTTTTCATTTCTTTGGACACTGGGAATTGCGTTATGAATACATGTCCCATTAAGAACTAAGCAAAATAATGATGTTGTCTTGCTTTATTGCGAGGTCCGTTGATTTTGTATTTTAACAATAAGTATTCTACACGCGAATAAATTAAATGTTACATAATCTAGCCAGGTAGAAATGAAGAACAATACTGTCAAGCAGAAGACAAGATAAATGCTTGCTTTTCCTTTTTAACATTCTTATTTTAAAAACTGTCCGACAATTTTACATCACGTGTACGATATCGAACGGCTGTAATTTAATACTGGATTAAGATGCGACGTCCACATGTCGAAGTCTCTTAACTTTTGACACGATCTGCTAATCTAATTATTGGAAGGCAACGCCATTAACTGCACTGCAGCGATGGTGCTCGCGCAGATGGATTAGCGTGGACAGTGGTACGTGTGTGCAAACACGCGACGACGCTGGGCTCATCCCGACGAGCTAGGACGATTTACGAGGTTTCACAGGCTTGTCTGGCGCATAGATAGGGCGAATGTGTCAATTACGATAATCGCGCGTCGATGATTTATCCGATTTATCCGATGAAATTATTTAGACGCCCGTTGACAATTATCGCGTCGCGATTTGACCTGAAAATGCAACGCGGTACAATACAAAACGCGACGTCCTTTCTTCGCCTGTTACATTAATTCACGATATTTCTCAAGTTTCTTGATCTCTATTTTCCATATCGTATCATATATTACATCACCATTATAGATATAAAAATAATTATTATTATCTACCGAGCTAAACTAAATTCCTTCATTGTCCATTGATCAAGGATCTCGTGTATTCTGTCGATTTTGTTTTCGTTTCATTAGTTTTCCTCGCATTCTTTTCCGTGTCTTTTGTCTCACCGGACGTAAAACAATCTTCGCCACTCGCGAGAGCCGGCTCGTTCGTCTCGGCGCGAAACTTTCCCTGTGCAAATCTGGACTCCGAGCTCTTGTTTGCTAAATTATCCCTCGGAAAATCGACGGCATCTTCCCCCTCCGAGGTTCTCAAGCGGAATCTATTTCGCCTCGCGAATCGGCGGCTCGCGTCGTGAGCGCGGCGTTTTCTAAAGGGGCCATACTCCAGATACGTTTCAGCGGGATATCGGTACACGTCGTTGCCTCTCCCGTGAACACCCGGAGCGAAGTGAAAGGTCGATGAGTCCGCAAAATCGTCGTAATACTGATACGGCCAATACTGAATCGGCAATTGCAGACCAACTGCATCGTTGATTACTCGGTCGCCGAGCTCTGGATGATTGCGAGATCGAAGCATTTCGCGGAAATCGCGGTTAGGATCCTTCAATACGAAAGGCATCCCAAATTCCGCAATGCCGTTCGATCTTTTGTTGCTCCATGATCGAGGTAGCCTTTGATCTTTAAGAATAATTTTGGGATCTTCCTTGAACGTCGCTCTCTCAGACGCTCGTCTCGCTTTCCGATGAATTCTGCGCGGGAAATTATCATTGTCGGTTATTTTCGGTACAGGCAAGATATTAAAGACACTGTCTCTGTCTCTTCCGCGTTGTAGCCGCCAAAATTTTGGACTGTTTAAATAAGCGTTGGATTGAGACTGCACGTTGCTTAATATAGGTGTTTCTTTTTCCATTAAACGAATTCCTGATACGGCACGATCATCATAATACGGCGATCGTTTTATTATCGGCAGCAGCTTCCATTCGACGACGTCATCCGACCATTTATTATTTCTTAATCTCAGAAGCGCCAAATTATTCTCGGGATCCGTATCCAGGTCACCCAGTTCGTCTAACTTAGTCACATATTTTTCCCTTAATTTATTTCTAGAAAGATTATCATCATCGTAATCGTAGTCGCTGATCTTCCAGTTTGCGACGTCATAAATTCTTCTCTCTCTTCCCTGTCTCAGATTTTCCAGCTCGATTTCAGGATCTATTTCCTCGCGTCGATAGTTTGTCGCTCGATTTAATTTTACAGCGTTATCATCCGCTTCTTTTTCCGTTACCGAAACTTTCTGCCGCTCCTCCGAGACCCGAGGCTCCGCGTCCCTCGTCAAGTTTACAAAGCTCGTACTTCCGTTCGCCTTATCAATTTTTGTCTCACGATTTACAGCGCGAAGTTTTCCCTTAACCTGATTATTGGCTACCGCATTTGTCGCTAACTTTTCTTCCGCGCTTACTTCCGCGGCCACGGAATCAATTGCTGCATCGGTCGACCGGCTGTTGTCCGCGAAAACATTGATTTCCCGCTCGGCCAATTCCAGTTTATTCTCACTCTTTGCGCCGTTGTCATTACTCCGCATTTCCGAATTATTCCGCGATTCACCGTCACGCATTTCGAGTGCCGCGTGAGATTTATTGAAACGATCTGTATAACTCTCCCCGGTTGATGTCCCGCGAATTATGTCCTCCCGCTTCGTTCTGAAGCTCGTCTCATTGAACGGTCTGCGTTTATCTCCTTCCGTCAATTTCTCGAATCGTTCCCTCTCCCTCCTCGTGCTGTTCCGCATGTCCTTGCCAAAGGCAACCTCCTCCAGCTGTTCCTCGTTCTCCCTCTTCCAGGCTTCCCGCTTGTTGAGCAGTATCACTTCGTCCTCCATGCGATTCTTCCCTTTTATTGGTAAGAAATCGAGCACCCTGTCATTCTCGGTCGCTGCGTTTTTCTTATCGATTAACTCCCGTTTCCTCTTCTTCTTCTTCTTTCCTGTCAACTTCGCATCGAGAAGATTGAACGACTCGTAAATTCTTGGCTTCTCGTAACCTAAATAATAAAGTGAAGCTCGATCGTTTTCAGGATTTGCGCGTTTTTGTCGCGACTTTCTATATCCCGGCGATGATTCTACGCGCTCTAACAAGTACTTGCGATGCTTATTGCGTCTTCGTTTTGACTGTCTATGATTTTCCTTCTTTTTCTGATTGCGAAGCTTCTGACGTTTCGACGTTTTGCGACGTCGTTCCGATGGGATTTTATCGAGGCTGCGCGTTTTTCTGTGACCTAGAAATTTTAAAACATTATATAGTAGAGCAAAAATTTGTTACGCTAACTTATATAATCTTATGAGAATATTAAGTAGAAATATGATAAATAAAACAAATTGACCGCCCGTACCACAGAAAATATACGAAAATGACCGAGCGGATATTTTGTCATGCAATTTTTGAACGAAATATTACTCGAACGTACTACGCGAACGTAATTACTCGGAGTTTGAAAGTTCGAACCGAAACCGCTATGGTTTTTTATCGACTCGATGCGGAAATAGTTTATCATGCCGTGGTATTTAGACCGAAAACATTTCCGATAACCAATTTCCCGATATTGGTAGTTAAAGGAACATCACCTTTGTTGAACATAACATTTATTTACCGTATTTTCTGTCGAAATTCTTAAACTATCAATTAAGGATAGAAAACAAATAAATTATATTATATATACAAAATTATATATAGGTACTTATTATATATACTAATTATATATATAATTATATAAATTATATTATATATACAAAATTATATATACGAAATATAAAATTATATTTTTATATACGATTTTTAAGAAGACATTGTAAAAAACGATAAATATGTGTAATCACAGAGATATTACGTACTATGATGGAGCTGTTTATCTGTCATTTCAAATGAGTTGTTGAACCGGAAAAGATTATGCGTATCGATTGGCAAAGAGAATGCATCTTTTGTCATCGAATGGCTCGCATTAGTGGCATTAGGCACTGCGCTTTGATACTGTAAGATATTTCCGGTTCCAGCTCTGGCTGCGCCGACGAACACCGATGTAGGCTTTCCTTTTGTTTCCGCATTTTCTCGCGCTTCGATGTATTGCAAAAGTAGATTTAACTGCTGAATCTAAATAATCGTGAAATTTTCTTCTGATATAATTTTCAGTAATTTTTTTTCTAATAATTATGAGATATCGCTCATCTTACAATATCTCTTATCTTAAAATTTTATCACTATTTCTAGAATATCAATTAACAAATAACGATTAGCTTATAAGTAAAATACCAAATGATCTTACCAAATAATCGTGGACTGCTTGGACCTTCGTTTTCTCTTTTGCGGTCAGAGCGTTATATTCTTTTACAAGAGTTTCCAATACTCTCACTTTTTTCTGTAACTCATTAATATTTTCTTCTATCTCTCGCTTGAAAGTACTGTCAAACAAGAATTTGCGTGCCGTGTCTTGCTCCGGAATAATTTTCTCACGTACCAATGGCAACAATGGTGCCTGGATTAAAAATGAATATTGATTAATTTAAAAAACGTATACCGCATGATACAATTAATGTGCAATCGGAGGTTATATACTTCTTCCGACAATTTCTTCTCTCGATCCATCTCCAACATCCATCCTAAAAATTCTCGCATATCCGGCGATAAAGTAATGCAAGTTTTCTTTTGCACTTCGTTCAGAATTAACGTACCAAGGAGCCCCATAACTTTTTTTATCATCATTTCCGTGTGATTTTTCTAGATCGTATCAATTTACAAAGTAAATTTGAAATCATCAAAATTTCTGTCATACACAATACACGCAAATATCTCGAACTAAATAAATCGTGATAAATATCGTGATTACTCCGTTTTCGTCGAGTCCTTGTCGATAAATGTTACCCGTTATCTTATCTTCCATTTTATGATCGCGATGAAGTCCAGGACCAAAGACACTCTTCAATTGATCATTTTTTTGGACCTGTAATACCGTAACTAATTGTCATCGATTATCTATATATTAGAAAAAACGCGTTAAATAATTTTCCATTTTTGATAAAAGGAATATCGAAAATGGCTTTGATATTGCGCGACACGGCCCTTCACTTGCCTGTTCGAATATTTGCTCGACGATTTTTCCAGCTAGTTCGCCGTGAAGAGCCACGTCCATCTGCGACTCGTCGTCGACGTTGTCGGCTGCGAGGAGCAGCGTAATTTCCTTTCTCCGTGCATCATCCTCCTCCGGCTTCACTGTCTGAAAAATCATCCTTAATTCTTTTCTCTTTTTAATCCAGTCGCGCGATCTACGACGCGATTGGCGATCGTCCTTTCACTCACACTCTGATCCTCCGCATTCTCGTAAAGCACCTTTTCGCCCGGTACTTCGTTTATCCCTGCGCGAAGCAGCTCTTGCTCGGCCGTTTTACCCTTCTGAATTCTGGTGCGTCCAATCAAAGGAGACGCCTCAGCTTTATTCTTCTGCTTCGGCTTTAAATCATTCCGGTTAACGTTCCGCGACACGTCAGACTGATGCGCGTGATGTCTTCTGTTTCTATTTGAAGAAGAGTGCAAACTGTTTTTCTTCGCGTGCTTTCCCAAGGAGTGCTTAATCTTCTTACTTCTCTTTCCGGGTTTCTCTTTCTTTCTCGTATTGGTCCGTCGGATTTTCGAGTATCGATCAAGGCCCTGTACGTCATTGTTCCAATTTCCAATCTCATGTCCGTCATACACTCCATTGAACTGATTTTGGAGGATATTCGGAGAATGAAACTGGTTACCCAGACGTCTGCTCATTTCATCGAAATCGCGCTGATTCTGACTCACGTCATCATTGTAAAACGTGCGGTACGAAACAGCCGCTCTTCTGATTCTCGGTGTTTTATTATTTACATATTTTTGTTCGGCAGCTTCGAGATCCTCATCACCATCCATATTATCCGTATTCATTAAAATCGATTCTTGAACATTCTTAGCGGTTCGATCAGATACACCATGATGATTAAAAATATTTAATAAATCCGCGATTGTATTATTGTACCAATTTTGTAACGTCGATGAATTATCACGAAAAGTTTGCGAGGTAGTTGCATTGTTTACGTTTAATTTATCTTGATAATAAGATTTGTAAGTTTTATTTAAGCCAGAAATTTCTGTATCGTTTATAGCTTTTAATCCTCTGCCCAATCTGACTTTCACGTCGTCATCAACATCATCATGCCAATCGAGAGATTCCACGAAAGACTCGCGCAAGTCTTGCGGACTAATCGCCGCCTGTTTCTCCAGATTTAGATTTCGCTTCAATAATTCATCTGTCTTGGACTCGACGTACTTGGTATTTTCGTAAGGAGAACCGGAATCCGTATCGATTATTGACCGGCGTTCGGTAAAGGGGATATTTTTATCTTCTGAAATCTATATCAATTAATTACTTTATATCGTTGCGAAAAAAAGAAGGATAAATAATATTGCGACAAATAGTAATCAAGCGTACCATAGATACTTTCGGCTTGGCGGTTGTTCTCACGGAAAATATACTCGGTGAATTTTCCTTCGTCGAACTTTGCTCGAAGCCACCTTTAAACATATCAACCGTGACGTTAAGCGCGAAATAATTGCTCGCCATAGTGCTATTCGAGTCTGCTGCTATCGATCAAACGTTTTGTAAAATTGTTGCCATTATATAAGCGTTATAACGATATTAACTCTACATCAAGTGGAAGAAAAAAAATAAAAAAGATAGAAATAAATTTGCGATTAAAATCAAAATTAATATAAAATATTTAACAATCTTATATAAATAGATTCAATTATATGAAAATAAACGAGAGTTTCTTTATTCTTGATGATTGCAGTTAATATTTACTCATCCGAGATGCATCAATCGACTGGAATCTCCTTTGTGCGTTGTCGTTTTGACCCGAGCTGAGGAATCTATCGTTCAATGGTTGTAATTGAAAGGGATTTGTATCAAGCGTATCATCTGATTCATAGCGTAGTCTTTGATCGCCTCTGAGCCGGGGTCTACTCTTTAATTCACCATCAGGCCAATCGTACACACTCTTCAATTCCTCATACAGAGACTCGACATTGTTTGAATCGTTATCTTGATAATAATAATGATCTTCTGATCTGCAAAATAAACTATTAAATCTGGACAATTCTGTGAATCACAAATATGCGTAGCTCTTACAACGATTTTGGAAGAATTTATTTATAAATTTTCTTTATTCTGATATTTAATAATTGATTTTAATTTAAAAAGTTATAAAGTATTCTAATAGTTACAGAATTGAGTGACTTAAAATAAACTATTTCTGAAAATTAACATTAAATTAATTAATTACAATCGAGCAACACTTTGACTTTTTAAAATTTTGAATATGTATATTTTATGTTATAAAATGTAACATAATTTTAAGCATTTATACCGATCGTCTTCAGGATCTTCGTAGAAACCGTTTGAAGCCCCCAATTCTCTGCTTTCCTCCATAATTTCCTCTATAGGTTGAATATTCAACAAGATGTTTTCGATAACATCGGGATTTACATTTGCATAAGATATATGTTCCAAAGGTTCATTCGAACTAGATTTCTTTTTACAGCTATCTTCTAATAATGACTCTGAATTCTTCGATGATGCCGTTCTGTCCTCAAATGGTTGGTCCAACCTATCGGACATCTATTTTTTGGTCGTTTGCATCAAAAGCATCGAATTGCATGCATTTATGTGCAACTCAGATAAAGGACCCCGCACAGATCTTATGTAAAATGTGCCCCCGGTTAAATTGATTAAAACTGAAATATGTTGTTGTCCTCTACGTCCCGAACAAAAGTCTTAATGGGCACAACTCTCTGAATTCAATACTTTTACCCCTACAGACGTTTAAAATGCAAAATCTATGATTACGTCATACTTCTTAACGAAACAAGTATATGAATAAATCATATATATATATTCATATTTCATTAAGAAGTATGACATAACCGCATAGATTTTCCCTTTTAAACATCTCTAGGGGTAAAAGTATTGAATTCAGAGAGTTGTGTCCATTAAGACTTATGTTCAGGACGTAGAGGACAACAACATATTTCAGTTTCAATCAATTTAACCGGGGGCACATTTTACATAAGATCTGTGCGGGGTCCTTTATGTATAAAATAAAAGGTATCTTAAAGTATCTATACCTGTGTTGTTTTATCGTCGTAACAATCAATAGCAATATATAACTACCGTTAACTCAAAATAATTTGACTTACCATTTCAATTTTGCAGCAGCTAATTTTTCATGATGAACATTATTCGCAAAATCTTTGCTTTGGTGAATCTCCTCCGAGTTTTCCTTAGTCAATAATTGTCTTTTCTCGTTGGACACATTTTCGAAACTAGATCCTAATGAACTGAGCGACTTTTTATTATTTTTCGCAGTCTTATTCTTAGATCTTTCACCAAGATCGACGATAATCTCTTCTTTTGGCTCTTTATTCTTTGCTTGTGCCTTTCTGCGTTTTTCTTTCATTATCGCCTCGGCGTTTTCGTTTTTCTTCTTCCCTAAGCCTGGCGGTTTATCATCTGCGATCAATTGAAATATCGATGTCCCATTAGTTTCTTAAATTTATACTAATTTACATATTTTTAAACATAAATTTCATTATGCTTACGTTCTTACCGCGCTTTATCTTCGCATTAATCAAAAGTTCATTGTCTTTATTTTGAACCTCCTGCTCGTTTATTGGAGCATCGCGCTCTTGCTCTTCGTCATAATCGTAATATTCGACCACATCCAACGTATTATGTCTCTTTGTCCTATAAGTACTACTACCTTTGCGTTTCTTGCCAAGCTTTTGCTTAATCATCATGTCAACTTTAGCTCTTACAGGATCGATTTGCTTGCTAAATAAAGATTGTCCCTCTCTCTTGCTTTCCACTGCTTTATCATTATCTGTAAATGTATTATGCGTTACTTTTGTGCGTTATTTCCGCTGCGAAATCATCAAATTAGCGTTATACCTTCGAATATATTTTCTTCTATGTCATTGTAGAGATCTTTAGGTTCTTCGACATTCTGATTTAAATATTCTTCATTGCTTTCTTGTTTTTCATCGTAATTTAGCGCCGCTTCTTTCTCGACTGCCGTATTCTCTGCTTCATTATTGGATTCAAGATTTTCATAAGGATATACAGACCGTTTGTAACGTGCGTGATTTGTTTCGAAGATCTGAGAATTTAAAGCATCCTGTAACATACGATTTTCTTCAGCTTTATCTTCGCGTTTGATTCTAGTCAATATATTTCCCAAGTTTGCAGAATCGGTCGTTTTACTCGGCTGTCGATTCTCACTCGTGACATTTTCAATATAACTCTCAGTCGCGATATTAAAAACTGATCCCGTGCCCTTTATTGATGAATCTCCACTTTCGGCATCGACTGAAATCGTGGAAATCCATAATAATTTTCTCTGTAAATTATTATCGAATTTATGATACTCGTGAGCTTTCATTATACTTCGAGCATCTTCCTTTACATTCATAGTCTCATTTCCGTTTGACCCGAAAACACGAATATTGATTCTATTCAAATTTCCATTCGATTTATTTGCGTTCCTATTCTCCGCTTCACTTAAAGGCGAAACCATCTGTTGCTGCTTTTGCAAATCGTTGTCTACAGTCGTCAAAGTGAGATCCTTCGGTATTATCGATTTGCCAATCTCAGACGTGTTTATATATGCGGCTTCCGGTTTCGTTGTCGCATCGGTGACAGAATCAATCGGTGAAGTCGAAGAGTCATCCCCTACATTTGTATCTCTTGACTCGTCGACTTCATCTTCGTTCGTCTTCATCTTCGCCGCGGACGTCTCGTCCCTTCCCATCCGCCGGGACAATCTCGCCATCGACTCTGCCTCCCGCTTTTGATACGAACGCCCCCGAGGCTCAAAGATTTTGATCACACCGGGTATCGGCTCGCGGTTTTGCTTTCGCGTTCCGTCCGCCACGGTCTCCCTTTCTCTCACGGCTACGATTGTTTCGACGACACAGCTCCGTGATTCATTTGTCCCGATGCCGAGCCCATGCGACGTATTTCCCCGGGGAAACTCCTTTTCCGCGCCCTTCGATTGTCCGTCATCCGTGCTGAGTCGCGATATTTTCTGCGTCGCGACTCCTAATTTCTCTTCGTCACTTCGATTTTTCAGAGATTTCCCAGAGTCATCGGCACCATCGTTTAATGAAAGATCTATCGAATCGGTGAATGCGTTCTTTTTGAAATCGGACGAGTTAGTACGATTCTCCGCTATATGATCAATAGTTTTTAATATCGCCTCACTTGTGAAACGTTGGCTAATTTCCTTCGTGCTTGTTTTAGGAACTTCATTTTTGGTAATACGTTCTGGTGAATGCGTTTGAAAGTCCATTTTTATGTCAAATGATGATTTGTTGTCGATAAAGTGATCATTTAAATATAGCTCTGTATGTGAAGAATATTTTAATTTCCTCTCAGGAATATTAATTTTGTTAGCTATTGATGGGATAATCGTTAAATTATTGATATGATTATTTGAAAAAAATCCTTTTTCTAAAGAATACTGTAAATCGGAAATGTTCATTTTGTTTGAAGCGTTCGCAGATTTTTTTCCGTCATCACTGAGATAACTAGAATACAATTTTGTGACGACTTCTTCAGTATTTTGTGTCGAAGTTACATTTTTGAGAACGTCTTTAATCATTTGAGTTTTCCGATAGCTGTTATTTTCAGGAATATCTCTCTGATTTGTGTAATTTGAATCTGTGACAAAACTCCTACTGCGTTTACTACGATTATGTGATTCTTGCGAATTGTGCTTCCCAAAATATGATTCTCCAACTTCCACTCCTTGAAATATTTTTGAATTATTTTCATCTTCGTTATCTTCATTTTTGGCTCTCTTTAGTCTTTGCATTGTTTCTTTATCAAATTTTTTATTAAATTGATCATCAAGATCTTCTCCAAAACCATATATTTCAACTGTGGATCTTGGCTCATCCCAGTTAGATTCTGAAAAAATTAATCACAACAATGATAATAGTTGTGACAATGTTAATAGTAATTATTACCTCTCGGTATTATATCTCTCCTCTTATAACTCAACATTAAACTATTTCTTAGTTTTAACACAGTTTTCTTTAAAGACTCCAGTGATAGCGGTACATTTCGTGTTTTGTCATTTTTAATTGGAATTGAAGAGCCCCGCAAAGCGGTGAAATCATTTACATGTATTGGATCGTACAACGATACGACTTCTAAGTGATCGGCGTGTAACTTTTCGTCTTTGCTCGAGTCTGAGAGTTTATATTTAATATATTATTTAAAATTAGATTAGCAATTTTAGCTGTGTGAAGTTGCCCCCCCCCC